TTGTCTGATTGTCCACCTGGTTGCCGTGTCAACTTTAATATATCAAACTCTAGTGTTTAATATCCCCCTTTTGGTTACAAAAAGACTTTAGATTCAAAACTGGGACACTGGCAGCGTGAAAAATCAGTAACTGGCGTAAAAAATCTGACAACAGTGTCAAAAATCGGGCAGTACAGTCCGAAATTAAATAAAGACGTCCGATTTTAGACAGTTGGATCCGTTTTTAGTCATAGCGTCTGATTTTAAACGCTAGTGTCTGATTTTAGACTCTAAAGTCCGATTTAAGACGCTAGTGTCTGATTTTATACCCTATTGTCCGTTTCACTTGAGTCCGAATTAAGAAACTAGTACTCGAATTTACACAAGTGTTCGATTTTAGACCCTAGTGTCTGATTTCAGAGACTAGGGTCCAAATTCGGTAATTATTGTCTCAAAAAAAGGCTGACTATCTTTTAACTAAGACGCTAGTGTCTAAAATTCTGACACTTGAAAGAGCGATCCTGTCGCGTGACTTCACAGTCAACTTTTACACGATTATGACCTAAACCAAAGAGTTTGAATCAATTTCGTAATTTTTCCAACGAACGAAATCTTGAAATCTGACCAAACTTCAGCCAAAAGCTACTTACTTAAATAGTAATGAATAAAGTTGAAAGGTTATGAAGGGGGATAAACAGTCTATTGAAAAATATTCAGAGACTGCTGAGCCCTGTAATAATCATAAGGATGTACATTTGTGCCGCACTGATCGCCTCTTTCGTTTTCATTCGACTTAAAAGGAGTAAGATAAACGAAAAGTAATTAACGAGGAACTTGAATTTACACCATGCAACCAGTCCTGTAATGTGACATTTTTTTGACATGGAAACTTTGCTTTTCGGTCACAGTCAGTGGGTGACTACCAACTGTCTTGTGACACTGTTAAAAAAAATGTAGAATACCTGCACAAGCTAGAGTGCTAGAGTGTGAAACTAAAATAAAACCCCCAGATGATAAGTAAATCGTATTATCCGTACTTCGTTTTCCGTTAAAAACGTGTCTATGTGGGAAAATGTGACTGAATATACCAAAGTTGTCATATCCTTCCATTTAATCAATATGTAGTAGTGCTCGTTTTAGTTTATGGTTAACGAAAGGCTGCTTATTCCCTCTCGATATCATAGCTGCTTTGGTAGTTACTTCAAGACAAACGAACGAACAAAGGGGTCATTTCGGTCTGTGGGAGAAATGCATAGTTGATAAAAGGACCATGTTTATAGTCAGTCGATGTCTATGGTTGGTTATTTTACCAAGGGTGAAAGCTACATGTATTTGAATTGTAGGGTAACTTATTAAAGGCTTATTATTTTATATTATTTCTCAGTGACTTTTCATTTACAGCGCACCAAACCATTTAAATATTAATAAAATGACGAGACTAACATCGCAAACAGCAGAGAAGGAATTTCATTTTCATAAGAGTCGGGGAAGGCAAGGACAGTTCTCACTCGCGTATATCTCGTGTGCCAAGGAAATAAGAGCCGATATCGAAGTCTACTTCTGTTTCTTAATCAACTTTCCATTTGTTACGAAGTGTGTCCGTTTTCACTTGAGTCCGATTTTAGAAACTAATACCCGAATTTTCACAGAGTGTACGATTTTAGACCTTAGCGACCGATTTGAAACACTAGTATCTGAATTAGACACCTGTATTGGATTTTAGAGAGTAGGGTTCTAAATTCGGAAATTATTGTCGTAAAAATAGGCTTCCTTTGTTTAAACTAAGACACTAGTGTCTATAATTCGGACACTAGTGTGTACATTTTCACACTAGAAAGAGCGAGCCTGTAGCGTGGCTTCACGGTCAACTTTTACATGGATTATGCTACTTAAACCAAAGAGTTTGAATCAATTTCGTAATTTTGCCCACTAGCGAAATCTTGAAAATCAGATCAAAATTTGCCAAAAGCTACTTACTTGAATATTAATGAATAAAGTTGAAAGGTTATGAAGGGGGATAAACAATCTGTTCAAAAATATTCAGAGACTGCTGAGCCTTGCAGTAATCATAAGGATGTACATTTGTGCCGCACTGATCGCCGTCTTTCGTTTTCATTCGACTTAACAAGAGTAAGATAAACGAAAAGTAATGAACAACGAACTTGAATTTACATCGTGTAATCAGTCCTAGCACTGTTGTATGGGTCATAGAAATGTGACATTTTTTTAACATGGAAACTTCACTTTTCGATCACAGTTAGTGGGTGACTACCAACTACCCTGTAACACTGTCAAAAAAAATAAGGAATACCTGCCCAAGCTAGAGTATGACACTAAAATAAAATACCTAGATGGTAAGTAGATCGTATTATCCGTACTTTGTTTTCCGTTAAAACGTGTTTATATGAGAAAAATGTGACTTTGAACATGCCAAAGTTGTTATATCCTTCCATTTAATCAATATGCAGAGGTGCTTGTTTTAGTTCATGGCTAACGAAAGGCTGCGTATTCCATCTCGATATTATAGCTGCTTTGGCAGTTACTTCAAGACGAACAAACGAACAAAGGGGTCATTGCTGTCTGTGGGAGAAATGCATAGTTGATGAAGGGTCCTATGTCTATAGACAATCGATATCTATGGTTGGTTATTTTACCAAGGGTAAAAGCTACATGTATTTGAATTGTAGGGTAACTTATTAAAGGCTGTTTATTTTATGTCATTTCTCAGTGACCTTCCATTTTACAGGGCACTAAACCATTTAAATATTAATAAAATGACGAGACTATAACATTGCAAACAGCAGAGTAGGAATTTCATTTTCATAAGAGTCAGTGAAGGCAAGACAGTTCTTTCTCGCGTGTATCTGGAGTGCCAAGGAAATGAGAGCCGACATCGAAGTCTTCATCTGTATCTTACTCACCTTCTCATTTGCCAACGGGTAACTTAATCTAACATCTCTCAAGAAGAACTCATCATATGCGTTGCCTTAGAGTTCAATATTCAATTTAACTGATTTAACAATTTCTAGAAGTTCTATTCCTGAAAGTTGGTGAAAAATTTTTTTCGGCACTTCATCCAAAGAATTTGTCTTTTATACTTCAGATTAGAAAATATTAATCCCGCCTGCCAAAATATGTGGAACAACGCAGGAAATAACTTGGTGGTTCCTAGCGAATTAAAAGTTGATGCGGTGAACAACGCAAATCCGTTGTTTGAGGTGCGTTTAGCGGGAGCTGGAAAAGTCAGATCTCCTGAATTTCAACGATTCAAAGGTATTTAAGGTGTCTTTGGTATCTTTTGTTGCAAAGCCACTTACCACTGACAGGTGAAAATCTATGGGGAGCCATTTGTGCCAAAAATATCAATCGCTATTTGTCTCTTATAAAAAGGGAGAGCAAAGATATAATTTAGAGGCGATTATTCGACGCGACCACAAAAGCCACATGGGTAGTCCGTGCCGGTCTGTCTTTGCCTTGATTGTCATTTCAATGTTCCTTATTAGAGTTCAAGAAAGTAAGTAAGATTTGATCGGTTTATCTCTGCTAAACAAGCGGGAGACTGGTTCAAGTTACAATCGATAAAAAATCGACACTAGCACTAACGATTATGTTTTATCACTAACGATTGATATTTTGGCACTAACGATTGAGTTTTATCACTAACGATTGATATTTTTGGCACAAATGGCTCTCCATAAAAATCTACGATACAGTACACATCAGGGCCTTTAATCAGTCGTGGTAATCTACTTCCTGTGAGGAAGTAAAAGAATGATCGCAAAATCTATGCATCTACTGAAGACATAGTTGGTCTACAATATCGCTCTGCTCAATAACCAACCTATTGTAAGTAATTTATTTCTACAGCGGAAATAAAACTCAAGGATGGACTGTGTGGGCCAAAAATGCATCAATTGTAAACGTTTTTCCCTTTTTTTTTTATAAAATTACGACTTAAAAAAAACACTTTACAGAGAAATCTTGTCTATAGGCTAAAATAACCGGGAAATTGATTGGCAGTGCAAAGTTGCGCTGGGAATGTTATAATTCATCAAGGTAACTCAGGTTTGTGTAGTATTATGACAAAGATTTACAGCAATTATTACGTTTCCTGCTTCGTAGCTTAAAATCGAGATCACGTACGCTTTCAGAGAAAAAGAAGTCTCAATCTAAAAAAAAATGAAAAATCCCCTAGATTTTGATGTTTTGAAAAAACGCCGTTGAGTCAGATGGAAAATTGTAAATGTTTTCTATAATTCTAAACAGACTTGATGGGCGATTACCGAGGTGTGCGGCCTGCTCCCACTCAGCAACATATAGATGCCTTCATAACTGCGGTAACCCAACCAGGCGGACCTATGCAGGCGGCATTCGATTATTTAAGGCCGAAGGGATTATTGCCCCCAGGCGTGGTATGTGTAGACCACTTCTTGTAATAGAGAAATATGTTATTCATGTGTCCTGAACATGTGAGTCCTTCAAGAAGAGTCGAACTTTAGAACTTTTGATCTTGACGCCCTTCCAATGAACAACAGAGAATTCGTTTATGGACCAATGAGGTAAGGGACCACGAGGGGTGGGTGGAGATCATATGGTATCCAAGGGAACTATGGGGAGATCAGTTGTCGCCATAAAGAGGGACTTTAGAAAATTGACTAGCCATTAGCCACCAAGGGGATGGGGAGTCATAGAGAGCCGGAGGGGGGAGGGGTAACAGGTAAATTTTATCGTGAAACAACCAAATTTCCCCCCCCCC